GATTATTGAAAACTATTGAAAAACTATAACACTATTTTAGGTTTACCAGAAGATATATCAGTGAACGCTTTGGCGTGTATAATTATAATACAGACTGTTAAAATACATTTAAGTCCATGAATACACTTTATACCTTCTGATCCTCCGTTAGTACGAAACAATAGTTTTATGTTTGTATAAGCAGAGAAACATAGGATAATTTCACCAAAAATACTTTTTTTTTGTTTATCAACATCTTTGGAAATATCATCGTTAGTTATCACTGAATTTTTTTGAGGATCTATAACAAAAAGATAATGAATCCCATGAATGAATGAGAGAAAGGTCAAAATATTAAACTACTTTTTTTTTTTGACTATTAACTAACCATTATTTTTACTGAATTGCATATTGCTAATATTTAGTTTTTTCATGTTTTTTCTATGAAGAACTACGTCATAAATTGTTCCGAATATCATCATCAAAATAGTGAAAATTATGATAATTCTAAAAATATAAGAATTAAAAAAAAGGTATTTAAAAATAAAAACTTTGGGGATTAATTAAATTATGTACATGGTTAACATTGATTTCCAATCTAAAAGATAATGGTAATTAGTCTTGAGATCGCTGACCCGTAATAATTTATAATCAATATTATAAATTTCATTCATCATTAAGTTTTGTTTATTGAATATTTTTTTCAGGATTAAAGATAGCTCATCATTTTTACAAATACTTGGCAAACAAAGACCCAATGTCATTACATTCTGAAACAATAAATATAGGTAAATATATATTATTCTCATGAAGAATTTAATATTGTATTAGTTTATTTATTTTATTTTATTTCAATAATTCAAACTATTAATAAATGGAAAAAATACACAATTATTTTGATTTAGCCTCCACTACAACATTTGTTTTCTCTGTCTGTTTCGTAAGTAAAATGTATAAAATAAAATTTAAAAAAACTCAACATTTTTCCTAAAAACGATGAAAGCGGCCAGAACAAATCTTAAAAAAATTGGGGAACATTATTAAACTCTAAGGAACACAATATCACGAGAAAAAGAACATCTGATATATATAAAAAAAAAAAATATAAAACACCCTAATATATATGTAAAAATAAGTATAAACAAATTTGTTGTAAATGAAAAAAAAATAAAACTGTCATAATTATATGATGATCCAATAACACAACCAGAACTTATTTACAGAGGGAAGAGACTGTGAATTTCAAAAATTGATTACCGCTCATTACTGCACTGTTGCAGATTCACTAGTTGGTAAGTTATTGGATACACACGGTAATTTAGTTTATATATTGTATGTACTGATAAATTATTGGAAACGAAAAAACGATTCTCTAGAGGAGTAGTAATGTAGTATAATAGTTATGTTTTTTCACTTATTACCAAGGTAACC